ATTCTATCAGCCTGCGTCCCGCTTCATTTTGTTCTCCCAGACCATGCTTGCCTGTGATCCCTGTTGTCATTTGACTTCCCACCTGGCATTCCAGTCTCCTGTAATGAAAATAATGTCTCTTTTTGGTGTATTATCCAGTAGGTCCTGCAGATCCTCATAGAACTGATCTACTTCTGCTTCTTCAGCAGCTGTGGTTGGGGCATATATTTGGATCACTGTAATGTTGAAAGGCTTTCCTTGTACTCGAATTGAGATCATTCTGTCATTTTTTGGGTTGTATCCAAGCACCGCTTTAGCGAATTTCTTATTAATTATGAAGGCTACTCCATTTCTTCGATGTTCCTCTTGTCCGCAATAGTAGATCTGGTGGCCATCTGATGTGAAGTGGCCCATTCCAGTCCATTTCAGTTCGCTGACCCCCAGAATGTCTATCTTTAGTCTTGACATCTCACCAATAACAACATCCAATTTGCCCTGGCTCATAGATCTTACATTCCAGGTTCCTATGGTGTGTTGATCTTTAGAGCATCGGATTCGTCGTTCACCTCCAGTACCGTCGGCCGCTAGCCTGCCTTTCGGCTTTGAGCTAGCTGCGTCATCACATCTGGGCTAGTTGAACTTATCCTCTGCTCCTCCCCAGTAGCATTTTGGCCATCTTCCGACCTGGGAGTCCCATCTTCCAATGGCATACCGACATATCTCTGGTTGTACTGGTCCATTTAGTTTTCTTGGCAAGGATACTGGTGTGGTTTGCCATTGCCTTCCCCAGGGATCACGCTTGGTCTGACCTCTCTGCCACAACCGTCCCGTCTTGGGTGTCCCTTCACAGTTTCGCTCATGACATCATTGAGGTGCTCAAGCTCCAGCGCCCCGACAAGGCGGTGATCCTTTGCTGGAGGGGCATCCTGTAGAATGCTAAAAAATAGAGATTGATCCAGAATATAAACAATGAGATATTAATTAAAAATGTGCATTTCCATTGCCCCAGTGGCTTCCCCATTCTCTCTTTGGCCCAGTACAAAGTACATCCCAAACTTGTGACTTGAGGATTATTATGGATGATGGCAATGCCTCTCTTCCTGTACCAGCACTGAGTCTATGGATGGAGAAAGCTGAGAGGGATCAGTTCCTCCAAGCTCATCCACTCAGTTTTATGTGATATATTTTATCATGGATAATCAAACGACCCCTTCTTTGCTTTACTTTCTAATGAAAGAAAATTAAATTAAAATAGTACAACAGTAAAAACATTCATGTTGGGAAAGCATCAGATCATTTTCTCAGATTTAGTTTGCTTTGTTAATGTAGTACTGGAATGAAACTTGGGCTTGATATTTATTTTCAGTACTTTTTGGAAAGCCAGAATAAAATAGTCTAGGTCCCTTCCAGGAGAACTCCTTCTTCAAGTAATTCTAAATTTGTCTCACTTTTCTTATTATTTTTTGTATCCTTGTGTCCAGTACAATGCTTAATACTAATAATGTTCAAAATCAGTTTCATCAGTTTAGAAGCTTTAAAAGGTCTGAAAGTCCAAGCACATATTCCACCAGAACAATCTGCTCATGTGCCATTTGAACCACTGCCACCTTTGCTTCTTATGTATAGTAAAAAGAAATGTGTTTTAATATATTGCATGTAAGAGCTTCCACTTGTATTTTTGGCAAATGTATTCTAGGGATTATCTGATTCCATGCAGTTATTGCTCCACTTTGGCAAGGACCTGTCTCATGAACATTTTTCATTTTGACTTGCTGAAGTATACAGTGTCTGTTACATGAAGTCTATATTTGTATGCAACTCGTAGTACCAAGTAGATTAAGGTGGGAAAACCTGAAGCTGATTGTGGCCACACACATTCTGTCAGCCAACACATAGGAAATGTTTATAGAATGTGTAGGATTGTATCATCTGCCTTTCTAGAGAAGCCATTTGGGTTTGAATAGAAACCAGGATTCATTTTATATATCCGTTTATGTCCATCTCTGTCTCCTTACTGTGATTGCTTCTCTCCTAAAATTTTGTTTTTCAAGCTGTATTCTCAGTAAATGTGCTTTTGAAGCAACAATTTCTTACTTGCCATCTACCTATTAGCATTATAAACCAGCTGCTCACCTTTCATACCTAGTAACTGACTAAAGTAATTTCAAGGCAGCATAAACCTCTGTTTTTAAAGGAAAGCAGAATTCTGTCTGCACCTGTGGTTCACTGACCAACTGTTAGAGATTGAACAAGGGGGTGGGGGTGGGGGGGGGGGTCAAAAGCAAGAGATTATAAGCATCAATCAAAGGTAAATGAAAAGAGGTGTTGATCTTTCTAAGTGATTCAGCAGCCATGTTGTTTCTTATAGTTTGAACTCTGCTCTAAATTCAGGAAAAGCCAGAAACAACTTCAATCTAAGCTGTGAAGCTCACTGGGTGGTCTCAACACATCACTGTATTTCAGCAAACCTACCTCACAGAATTGTGGGCTTAAAAGGATACTATATATCATCAATGACAAAGCAGATATATTTCCTTTACATTATGGGACACTATAAGCAAAAATCCAACTATTAGTGGATTTGCTGAATCAATGGGACTGTAAACGTTTACTTAAGATGTCTTATTCAAGAAATCTCTTTTAGCCAGGATTAACAATTGGATTTAGCCTATAAATCCTCTTGTTTAAGATTTCATGGACTACTGTGGCTGCAGAATAAATAGAGGCAGTCAGGAATGACTAATTAGCACATATTTTGAATCTGTACATAATATAATTAGATTTTTGAAAACCAATTTACTCACCTAGGTTTTTTTCCCAAAATTGTATTTTATTCAAGAATCATATACACATTTCCAAATTAATAATTTAGGACATAAAATAATATAAAATGATATGTATTGTTCTCAAATGGGAAGTGATGTAAAAAGCAATAATGTGGAAGAGGAACAAATTCAGAACCCACCATGCTTTAAAAGCCTACTGGGGAAGAGAGTCTTGGCAGACTACTAAAAGCAAGCCACAAGTATGCCAGATATCCTGTTTGGCAGTGCTTTCCAACTGATGTGACTGCATGTTACAAAAGGTCCTCACACTTCTGGTAAACTACCGTTTTATGAAGGAATTGATCAGGAAAGGTATATGTTTGCAGTTAGTTCTCAAGCAGATTAGAGAAAAATCTGTGAGAATTACAAGTATATAAAGCAGTTTTTGTTCAGTAGGTCCCTGTTAATTTCTGAATCTGTATGCATACTTCTGCATTTTCCCCCATCATCCGTCAAACTTTTTTAGTTATGCAAACTTTTTTAGTTTTTCTTTTTGTCTTCCCACTTGCGCCCTTTATCCACAGCTTCCTTTACTTGCTTGTTTTTAGTTCAGTCAGTATAAATTGAATGGTCCTGGGTTCCATCTAAAGTACTTTGGCATCAGCTTCCTAATTGTCTTGTCTATTCAGTTTTGCTTCTTTCACAAATTCATCTCAGAGCTTTCAAACCTCCTGGGTTGCCCCGTTGATTTTAGCCTGAACACGAAATATCATCCAGCAACTTACTACCCTTTAAATGGCAGGGACCTTTATCTGTCAGTCATCTATGTCCACTTTTGGGAAGGATGTAATACCTAGTGTAGTAAAGATATGACCAGGATTTAGGAAAACATGAGCATTCTAGCCAGCATGCAAATGATATTGGACTGGAAACTAAAATTAAAGTTGGGAAGAGGAAATAACAGTTTACTATAGGAATTATCTGAACTTATCTTCCTTTATGAGCTGTCAAGAAGATTAAGATCTTCTTGTGAGACCCTGCTCTCTATCCCGCCTCCTTTGTAGGCGCAGTTGGCAGGGACGAGCAACAGGGCTTTCTCAGTGGTGGCCCCTTGGCTATGGAACTCCTTCCCGAGTGAAATTAGATCAGCCTCTTCCACCCTGACCTTTAGGGAAAGGCTAAAAACATGAAAGCTTGACCACACATTCAATGAGTAATCTATCAGTGCAATCAAAAAAGATGAAATAGTGCTACGACAAATTGGAACGGCCGCAAACTATGATATTGGATTGTGTGATTTTAAATAATTGGTTTTAAGGTTTTATAAGTTTTAATTGTTGTTTCAATGTTTATGTTTTTATTATGTGTGGTTTTGATATCTAATTGTTGCCTATATATGTAAGCTGCCTTCAGTCCCCTATGGGATTGAGAAGGGTGGGATATAAATACAGTAAACAATAAATACATAAATTATTGCCATAAACAAGCATTTAAACTGGCTTGAGAAAGACTATGGGAACATATCATGTAAGGTGAGGGTGATCCCAGATTTAACCCCATCTACCAGCACATGTAGGATAACTGTACTAGCCTAAGTAGTTCAAATGAGTTTTATTTCCGAAATAAAAGCAAACCAACATGGAGTCATATAATGATGGAAACTAATTGGCAAATGTTTAGAGTAAGCAAAATAGAGCATTTCATACAATTAGTGTGTGGAATGTGCCTTAAAAACAGACTGCACATTCAGAGAAGAAAAGGGGCTATTGGTTGAAAGAAATAAAAAATGTGCACATATTGCGCACAAGTTAAAACATATAATAGCAGTATTACATAGAAATTCCAGATGAATGTGTCCAGGAAAAAAAATACCAACATGTATATTCTGTGCAAGAATTATTTTAAATTAAATACCCATTTCAGAGAACCATATTACTCAATTTTTTGCATTATCTCCCAAAATAAGATGTATTTGAAAATTTTAGAAGAATAAACTTGAGGTTTACAAACTTTAAACTCATCTAGCAAATTCATTCTTTTCCCCTAATACCAACAGAGAGTTGGGCACACTTAGGACCATCAAAATAAGTAGACTTCAATACACTTAATTCTGCATTTCTGCATTTCACTAGAAAGTGGCCTCTCTATATAAATCAGTTGTGCCGTACTTGTAAGGTGACTGTCTTTCTGGTACAGAAACATTTTCCTTTAGCCCTGTGTTTTACAGTAGTTGCTAACACGCATGATGTCTTCCAGCTGTTGTCAGTCCTCGAGAAATGAATGAACCTGATCCAATAGAAGAAGCACTTCGGGCACAAATTGAAAAAGAGAAGATAAGGTTATTTCAGTTTTGTTTTTACATTTACTTTTATATGTATACGTTACCCATCTGTTATTAGGAATTACGTTACATGTAAATGTTTCATATGTTCTATTAAATTGGCTTGAGTGCACTATCTATGGTGTATCCATCAACACTGGAGAAACGGTACATCTGGTTAGATAGTCAAACAGTTGTAAGAGGTTATAATTCTCTCTCTCCCCCCCCCTCCCCTTAACTGAACTACTTAACATCTCAAGTCAAGTTGTCAGCATACCTATTAAGCATCAAATAGGGTAGAGAATACTGTATACTATAGTTCAGAAAGAGATGCGTGTAAAAGATTTGCTTGAATGTGAATACTGTGTTCACTGGATTTGTCTGTCTATTGGTCTGTCTTCATCAAAGTATTCACTTGTTGCACTTGAGATTCAGATTAAGAATCCCTTATCTGGAATTCTGAAATCTAGAATATTCCAAAATTCAAAATTGTCCACATAGATGACTAAGATCCCTTCCACACAGCCCTATATTCCAGAATATCAAGGCAAAAGAAATATCTGATTGTGAACTCAGATAACCCAGTTCAAAGCAGATATTGTGGGATATGGGGCTGTGTGGAAAGGCCCTAAATAGTTCTTCTACCTTTGCTTTCTGAGGTGTCAGTGTGCACAAACTTTGTTTTATGTATAAAATTATCAAAAACATTTTATAAAATTATCTTCAGGATATGTGTTTAAGATATGATATATCTTGCGTTTAGACTTGAGTCCCATTTACAAGATATCTCAATAAATACATATATTGCCAGCCAAGTTTTGTGTGGAAGATGTAGTTGAATAAAAGATAGAGGGACATGTTTAGGAAATGTGTGGAGGACTGAAATATTTATTCTAAAGAAATGGTCATATTCTGGTGTTATAAATATTATAAGGTATCTGATGGTGGTGAATAGTTTCTGCCTTTTTCCTGAACGGGGATTCAAGGTGGCTTACAAAAGTTTCCTTCTACTATTCCTTTAGGTTGGACTACGCATTTGTATGCTTCCTTAGTGTTCTGTCCTTCTTTCTGGTCTTTATATATGTTCTTTAGATTGTCACTTCCTCTTTAAGTTTGCTGTCCAGCCACATTTGCTTTTTGACTTAGATGTTTCCCATTTGTCTTCTTCCATGAGATTCTTTGTGATTGTGCTTTTTTCAACTCCTCCTTCAAGAACTTCCATCTATGGTGGTGTCTTTTTAGCATCTCTAGCTATAGAATTCCACCCAGAATTTCCCTAAGCTTATTTGTTAATTTAATTGTTTTAAGTATTTCTGTATCATCTCCCAGCGCACTAATGCTTCTGAGATGAAGAAGAATTTTAAAAATAATAAGCTTTCCTGAAATCCAAAATCCATATTTGGCTATAGGAATACAGTGTCTAAATCAGGGAAAGTAATAGTACAATTCTATTCTGCTTTTATCAAACCCCATCTGGAATTCCATATCCTGATCTAGGTATCACACTTGGGTAACAAAATGGTAAAACATCTGGAAATCATGCACTATGTGTGGTGGCCTAGGGTATGTTTAGCATGGAGAAGGGAGGGTTAAGTGGTAACATGATGGCCATGTTGAAATATTTGAGGATAGCGGAAGGTTGTTTTCTACTACACCAGAGAGTAAGAACATGAAGCAATGGATTCAAATTATAAGAAGAGATTTCACCTAAGCTTTTGGTGGTAACAGCTGTTTGATAGGGGAGTATATTGCCTCTGAGTGTGGAAGAGTCTCCTTCTTTGGAGTCTTTTAAACAGAGTCTGAATGGCCATTTGTCAGGAGTTCTCCGACTGTGTAGTCCTGTATGGGCTCCATGCTGTTTTGGTCTCTTCCAACCCTTTGATTCTGTGAAGAACTATTCTACTAATCAAGTATGTCTCTTCTGTTTTAGCTAGACTCTCTCTCTTACTGTGTCTAATATGTATGCTTATTCTTTTAAAAGTATGCTTATTCTTGATACTTTGGTGATTAAATGCTGATAAATGGCATATTATATGCTGTTTATGAAGGCAGTAGTCATAGAATAGGAATAGAATAAAATAGAATGCACATTATCACTTCCTTCCAGTACACATACTCAACTGCCCTAATTTTACAAAATATAGCATCCAGTCTATAATAAAGTAATTTTTCCTTCTGACATGATGAAGTGCAGGAAATTAGAAATGTGTTGGTTAATTTTCCTCTTCTGTACTCTTTTGCTCATGCATGAAACAGCCCATGGTGCTGACAATTTAATATTTAGTCATAAGGACCATATTGCCAATGCACCATATAATAAATACATCATGCATTAAACGTGTTTATCCTATTAAATATGATGTGGAACTGTAACAAAGGGCTCTTTCTCCCACTCTTGGAGCATGGAAATGTGAATTAATTAACATGCCAGAGGGGGAACAGTTAGGGGAAGAAGAAGAAGAAAAGGTGGTACTTGCCAACAAAAGTTGGGAAATTTAAAAATATAAATGGATGGAAGGAACTGTTGCATTGCCACCCTTTGCTAAGCTCAGTACCAGTACACATCCAAATGGGTGAATTCATTTGGCCACTCATTGTGCAACAAACCAGTCTATCCCAGCCTACTACCCATGATATGTGTTGGGGAATGGGGACAAACAGATCAATTCTTTCTTACAAAATACTTGATAGTATTCATTTCTAGAAACACAAGATCTACCTTTCTGTAGTAATACAGAATTTCCCCCTTTTCCTCTTGCAGTTATAAAGCTATGTTTACTCACCTGAAAGGACTGAAGATAGAAATTGAACACTTGCAGCTACTTATGGAAAAGGCAAAGATGAAGTTGCAAAAAGACTTTGAAGTGTGGTGGTCTACCGAGGCAATGGGTTTGCAGGTATTACAGTGTTTTATCTTGAAAAACAGTTTTACACTTGTTAACTGAAAATATGCCCAAAATTTCTGGATATGACATAGAATTTGGGCCAGTTTTTCCATTAGCTTATTTTGGCATGCATATATATGCACAGGAAAATTCCATGTTCACCTGCTAATCAATATTTTCTGTAAAATATCTGTAAAATCCTCAGTCTTTAATTACCTCATCTAGTGAACCTAAAACCTGAGTTTGACATTTAGAAATCAATCTTCAGCATTTTGTCATAAATTGCTGAGTTTGCAGATATTCTAGGAGGAAGATTATACTATAGAAGAGGTTCCTGAAAGCATTCAAAAGGGATTCAAAAGAGAGTAGGAGTTAGCCTACTTTTTTTTTTAGTTTTTCTGTTCTCTTTTTCTGTCAAATACTCCTTTTAGAACCAGGAAGAAAAGCCGGTTTTGCTCAATTCAACTAGTGTGTTAAAGACTCCACCTTTAGTCCTTGGAACCCAAACATATCCTCCTGCTATCAGGTAAGATAACTAACTCTTTGCAAATCTGTGATTTGTAACTGACTTTTTAAAGGTCATATATTTCAGAATTTGGAAATCTTATTGGTGGGATAAACAGTATGCCTGTCTATCTTGATCATCTACTTAGTGAAGAATTAGCAGGACAATATGCAATTTTGGCATCCCAAGGGCCATTCTACTTAATCTTCAATACCTGCAGTGCAGAATTATTATCTTCCAAGATAGTTTCACTGTTAAATAGCACTTATCAGCATAATATTTATCCACAATCTATTCCCTTGTAGATTCCACTAGTTCCACATTTACCTTCTAAAACAATTCTCGTCTAATTTTCATATTCTTTATGCAGGGATGTAATTTATCTGGCCCTAAAGATCTGAACTAATATAAAATAGCTAAGTATTTCCTTAACTGAGCTGCATGTCCCTCTTTATATCCTTGTGGATTTAGAAACTGGGTTCAGAAATATTTTCCTGAACACCTGATTTCCTGAAAATCCAATTCTTTTCTTCCATCTTTCTTTGCTTAAACATAGGAGAATGCTCAGGATATAATATTCAGCAAATATCCAGAGAAACACAAAGTCAAAATGCTTTTTCTGTAGATGACTGCTGGATGTTTCACTACCATTGCCAGTCGAATTGCTTGTTTTCCCCCTTCTTTTAGGCTGATCTTATTTGCTGTGATACATTAAACTGTGATACATGTAATCTGAGAACCTCACCTCATCCTGCTAAGTATTGTTCATGCCAGTTTTTCCTTGATTGCCACATTGCCCTTTTCTCATTGAAATGTGGTACTGTAGAACTATTCTAAGGCTAGCTTAGTCTGCTAAAATTCAAATGTCCCCTAGAGCAAACTGAGCCTTAATTCTCCCAAGATAATTAACCGGGACTGTCTTGTTTGGGCCATATTGTGAAAAAGGCATGGTTCACTAGAAAAGACAAATGCTTCGGACAAAAGGTGTTTTGGCTAATAGGTTTTTAAAAAATACCTGCCTTTTTTATATGTACATACTGAAATATCTTGGAGATGGATTCAAGTCTAAACATGAAATTCATTTGTTCCATATACACATATTCTGAAGATAATTTTATGCACACTATTTTAAATAATTTGTGCATGAAATGAAGTTTATGTGCACTGGCCCATCAGAAAGAAAAAGTGCCCCTATCTCAGCCATCCATGTGGACAATTTCCATTTTTGGAGTATTTTTTATTTTGGAATTCCAGATGAGGGATGCTCAACCTGTAATGCTTGATAAGGTAAAGGGCCATAGAAAAAGAGGAAGATTGCATAGGAGACATCCAAGAAAGCCCCAGCACTCACTCTGCAAGCCTGTTGTTGAGATCAATGGCAGTTAACAACAACAGAACCATAACTTACCTATTGGTGTGTATTCAGCAATTCTATACATTTTAGCTTTTATGTTTCTAATCATTAATGTTTTGAAAGACCCTGACGCAAACCCAATAACAAGAGCTCTCATTAACATATGGAATGTTCTGATAAGCAAGTGTTTTCAAATGCAAAGTAGGTGCTGATTTTGAATTAAATGTTGAAAACATTTCCTGTGAATTGATTTGTATGCATGAAGGAGTTTCTAAGTAGGCAAGTAAAAATAGAACCAAAAACAGTAGACTCTTATTTCATCAGGCATGCGTTCTATTCTTGTATTACGGTTTTTGATGAAATAACTACATGGAATGTCTGTTGGAGGGCCTAGTATTAAGCAACATGCATATTTTTTAACAATTAAAATTTCAACCATTTTTGACAATTTACATATCTTTTTGGTAAATGTATATATAGGCAGGTTCTTCCATTATTGTCTTTGGTCCTCATTTTTGACTGTAAGTTATCAGATACGATAGAGGTTATTATTATGACTTATACAGAAAATAAAGGGCCAAGAGCATGAATAAAATGTGATAATCTATGCAGAAGAGAGTTTAAGGTTGTACATTTATTTGAATATTTATTATATCACCTTCTGTGCCATTACACTTGTAATGACCCTTTTAAGCTTTCTTTTTTGGATTTTTAAGTCACATTAGTGTTATTGTGCCTTAAGCCTGTTAAATCCATTTTATGCAGCTATATTCTCAATGTGATGGGTAAAATATTTGTAATGGAGCTCTTGACATTGTGAGAAGGAACAGTAAAGTTTATATCCCACTGTGCCAAAAATATTCTTACCCCTTGAAGGCTGTTTGAGGCATTAGCATTTTAAAGTCAAAGTTTCTAGTTTCTTATATGAAAGAATATAACATAACCAAATCCTCACTTCCCAACGATTTCACTGAACCTGAATGACACAGTAACCTTATTTATTAATTCCTGTAATTGCATAGGATGAACCCTTTTAAGCTTACATTTTCCTTTGGCTCCATAGCGCCAGAGCACAAAAAGCTTTTTGTTACTAAATCCACCAAGAACAAACTGGTAAATTACTTAGAAAAAAAGAATCTAACTACCTTCTTCCATCAGTCAACCAACAGAAGAGTGAAAGTTGACAGGAATTATGTGGTATGTAGTAATAAATGTGGGTCACAACAACAAAATGCCCTTTGTGAAAATATCTAAATAACCAGAACACTATGGTTATCAGGGGACTATAGCTATTCACTGTGTGCTATATTGTTTGTTGTTGTGTGTCTTCAAGTTGTCTCCAGCTTTATGGCAACCTAAAGTGAACGTATCTTGAGTTTTCTTGGCAAGATTGTTTCTGCTTAATCCATACATACTTTTCAAGGCATGGGGTTTGTGTTCATGTTGCAGATTAAGCGTTTAAATGTTTATCCAAAGTTTAAGCATTAACAAATCTACATAGTTATTCATATACTGAAATTTTAGTACTGCAGTATAATAGTAACTGGATTGCATCGTGCTAGAAAAGAAGGAAGGCAGTTTCTTCATGGCCATCCAAGTAGCCTATTTCCCTAGTGCTGACCTTGAGAGGTCCTCAGAGCTAAAATGCTATGGAAAGATTGACTTGCCACATAACTTGGGACACAAAGAATATGCCTTCCTTTCTTCATTTGTAACTTTTTCAAAAAATGTATCTGATGCGTTGTTTTCTGCAACTTACATTAGCAAAGGTGTACTGCAGGATATCGGTCACAGCATTTTCTTACCTTGATGTCACAGTCTGTATAATTATAATTTATAACATGATGATGATGCTTCCCAAAAGGATGTTGACAATAATAACATGTACAGTGTCTCAAGAAACACAACAAATAATCAAGGATCTAAACCACGCCTGTACAACCAGTGGGCCTCCAGGTGTTTGGGCCTCCAACTCCCAGAAGCGCTAGCTTCCCTTGTTTCGGCAACTCCATTGGCTGCCTATTAGCTACTGAGCATGATTCAAAGTGCTGGCTTTAGCCTTTAAAGCCCTAAATATAAATACATTAGCTACCAGTTCAACTTATCTATCTGAATGTATCTCCTTCTATGAGCCAGTTCATAGATTAAGATCTTCCGGGGAGGCCCTGCTCTCGGTCCCACCGGCCTCACCTTCTCGGTAGTGGCCCCACAGCTGTGGAACTCCCAAGTGAGATCAGGTCAGCCCCCCTCCTTCCTGACCTTTAGGATACAGCTAAGACCTGGCTGAGGAAACAAGCATTCAGCCCATGGTTTTGGTTATGGTTTTAAAGATAGATATAGAAATAAATTTTATTTATCTATTCATATGATTTTCAAGGAAACTAGAGTGGATTAATGGTTTGAGTGTTTGACTACGACTCTGGAGATCAAGATTTGAATATATGAGAATCCACTAGATAACCTTGGGCAAAAAGCATACATTTTTAGATCCAAAGGAAATCAAGGGCAAACCTTTTGAGCAAATTCTGCCACAAAAACCCTTTGATAAATTCACCTTGTGGTCACAATTAGTCAGGAATGACTGGAAAGCACACTATAACAACAGTCTCAACATTTTTAGAAATATATTTCAGTTCAACCACCTTTCTCCTTTCTTTTGCTTATTCCTTTTCTGGTGGGTTTAGAATACTTCCTTCTGATTTTTGAGATCTACAAAGGTCAGTAGTGTTCTTATCCCTGCATTTATTCCATGAGCTCTTTAACACTTTATATTCAGTTTAGCATTTGTCCACTTTACGTCTCTCAGAAAACCATTAGGATTTGAAGAGGAAACACGCCTTCCTTCTCATTGTTGGAAGTGCAATAACATGTCTTCATCACAAGGGCAAAGTTGCCCATCCTAGGACAGTTCGATCTCACTTCACAGAGCCCGCTAGATCCCATGGCACAATGTAGATCTACTTCTGGCGGGACTCCATGCCTGAAGTGAGGTCAAACTGTCACAGGAGCAAGCACTAGCAACACAGACACTTCCCATGTTGCATAGAAAACAACAGGGGGAAACCGTGCTGCAACGTTTTCCCCCATGGGATGAGGTGAGAGGTGATGTGGGGCACCAAGTACCAGGTTTCCCACGTCAGATTTGCCACAATCCATGGCAAATCCCCCACTATTGCCCACCATTGCGACCTCAATATGATGAAGAGTCAAAAATGTTTCTAAGTGGGCAGTAGAAATAGGGTTAATTAGTCTGACCCTAAATGTCCTCTCTCCTTGACTTTACTGCCCCGCTGTAATGTGGACTGATACTCTTATGGATGTTTCCCATATTTTCTTCCCCAACCTCCTGCCAGTCCTCTGCCAGTAGTTTCCTAGAAAGAAGCTAGCTTAGATTAGTATCCTATGTAACTGTTTAATCTTATAATGGAGTTTCTATAGCAACATATTTAGTTTGTTTCTCTTCTGTTTTAGTAACATCTGTACTGTTCCTTTGTAAACTGAAAAAAAATCAGAGCCCTTAGTTTAAGTAGAAAGCAGATGTGGCCAGTGGACCTGAGAAAGAAAGCTGTCCAACCCTACACAACAGGATCCAAGGGACATTGGCTTATTTATGCTTTATCGGCTAGGTAGATTCAAAGGACTGTGACCCAGAGATGCTTTCTTGGCTGCTGTGACATATCATTAAAATGGTATTTTCCATTCTCCTCTTCAAACATTTTTTGCCAGAAATATGTCTAGAAAACAAAATGAATAAATTTTAAACTGGAGATTCAAAGAGCAAGAACATTTCAAGCTTGCCATCTAGTGGTTAGACTTTGGCTCAAGATAGGAGTCCAATATTTAAAGATAATTTTTGAAATGTTAACCCCAGAATCATCCGTCAATTCAGATGTTGAAGAATTGCAATCGGTTGTAACACTTAGCAAAATGTAGTATTGTTTCATATCTGTCTGCCCCTATAAAAAATATTTGACCAGTTTTAGCAGTGTCCTAATTTTTAGATTTTTAAAAAACTGGACAAAACACTTCCTTTTTAACAAGTTTATTCTTGTGCCTTCCCGTTATATTTTTTTCATTATAGTGCTGTTTTGTATTATTTATTATTCATGGTATTCATTTCACTCTTTGGAAATATGCATAATGTTAAATTTGTAATTGAGTTAATTTTATGTCCAAAGTTATCTTCCACAACTTTTAACTTCATTGAAATTATTAGTACAAGAATACTATCTGTCAATTGAGTGACTCCGGTCTGAGCATATCTCAAGATTAGTCAGACTTCTTTAAAAATGTAATTCAATATTGAATGGGGATAAGAATTATCATTTAAATTCACCAGTATACATCCATTAAATATTCAACAATTGGTACTTATATAAAATTGTATGTGCAATTTCCTTAGCTAAATTGAGGTGATATTTAAATGCTTTGTAGAGTCAAGAAGGAGAAGTTGTCAGCCCTAAGAGATTTCCTATTATTGTTAGCCAAGTTGGAAGATACTGCTTGTGTTTCCTATGTGCTCACCTGCCAAATTACAGTTCCATATAATCACTGTCTTTATTTTTTTAATCATACTGGCTGCATAGAGTTAGAAGGAGTAGGATATGGTGAAAGATTGATGTCATAGTTTTAAAAATCCAGGGGCACGTTCAACATTGTTGGATATATTTTCACATTAAAATAGTTCAAAAACGTATGCAGGAAAATGATATATTTACTCTGAATATGTGATTACACTATAAAATTCTGAAATTTGTAACTTGATGATAACAGTGTGAGTGTTTATTGATTTCTCTTAGGCACGCAGAGAATTATCCATTATTCTAATGTCCCTCCAGCAAAGATATGTTTCTGCCCCCCTGGGAATAGCACTGCTGAACCAGTACAATTCCCAGTCAAATAATTATCACAAAAATAGCAGGATAACATTATTTTCTATAAAATCATATATGATGTTATCCTAAATCATGGGTCTTTAGCTGATAGCAGCATCAGTGGTGTCCAGACTGTCTTTTGGTAAGAGAAAGTAAATTAAAGATCAAAGAACAATAGAAAGTATGAGATAGGATAAGTGAGATAGGATGGTGTGAAAGAAAAATTGAAAGCCAAGATACTTTTAGTTATAATGCTTTTCTGTTAGAGCCATAGCTTCAAGAGCATAAAATTTAGGCAACTGGAACTGGATATGCTTACTATGGAGCTTTGAGGTTTGCATTTGCGGATTATTTGGTTTGCTAAAAATATAACTTCATATTATTGTTATCACTATCATCATCACTCCCGACCTGCCTCTCCATATGGCCCAAGGCAGGAAAAAAATATGTAATAGAATCATAGACTAGTCCCATAAATCAAAGAAATACATTGTGGGAAGAAATGAAAGATGGCCTTTTCCGTGATAGCACCCCATTTTGTAATTCATTCTCTCTCTCTGTCTGTCTCTCTGTGTCTCTCTCATTCTCTCTCTCTCTAAATATTACCAATAATAGAATCATGTTGGTGCTGAATTAAAACCTGGTTTTTGCTATAGCCTTCAAGACACACCAATTTTATGCAGACTCCTTGTGTTTTTCAATTATTTATTTTATTTATTTGCTTTATTTGTATACCGCCTTTCTCAGCCTTTCGGCGACTCAATCAACTTTAGAAGTCATAATTTGAAATAAACCTGCATTTTAAGTAATTTAAATATTTCCACATTTTTAAGATTGGAGTACTGCCTTCATTCATTGAGTAGCAGACTTCCTAACCTGTACACAGCTTTACAATCAATATACTTGGACACTAGGGGGAAGTAGCAATCTGAAATGAAGCAAATCTTCTTCTGCTCTCCAGGGTTCCAAATAACAGCCGAGCCAGCTCCGATAAAGAGTCTTCTGTGAGAAGTAATTCCAGCAGACTCAGCAACTCAGTTTCTGCATCAAGGTATGAAATGAGTTTTTATTTTTAGAACCCTGCAAATACACTTAAGCCTTTATCAGAAATTAATTCCATGTGTCCAAAAAATGTTTGGAGCAAAGAACATGTCTGGATATGATGCCCCTACCTCCAAAGTTGTAATCTATACTATTCACTACTGCTTCCAACCTCCCAGAAACTTTTGCATGTGGAGCTGAACATCTGAAGGGGTGTCTAAATGCACTCAGTGACTGGGAATGTTTATGAGATGTTTATGAGAATGGATGTTTGTGAGATGTTTATGAGAATTTGTGGCTCATTACAAAAAAATGATGCTTAGTAAGTCAGAAGACAGTAGGAAAAGAGGAAGACCACATTACAGTTGGATAGATTCGGTCAAGGAAGCTCCCTGGGTTCGCAGGACCTGAGAAGCGCTGCTGACAATAGGGTGTCTTGGAGGTCTGTCCTTCATAGATTATCATAAGAAACAATTGCTGGCAAATTGAACTTTCCTGACAATCCATTCTTGGAGGCCATCAAATGGGTTTTCTCTTTAGAATAGTTTTAAATGAATGAAGTCATGTTATGTTCATTTTAAAAGAAATGAACATAACATGTTACTTTTCTAATATTATCCCATTTTATGCTGATTCCTGCCAGAAAAGAATAGAATCCACCAAACTACTTGTTTGTAATCTCTGTTTCAGTGTAGTTTATTCAAATGCTCTTCATAAGCTTAGCTGAAATGAAGACAGGTTGTGAGAATGAAGATGAAATTAAAGTAGGTGATCACTCATCTGGAATCTTGAATATACTTCTTTACTACAGGATTTCTCCAAATCCGATTTCATCCATCCCCTTCACAGGAGATAGTCAAACTGATGCTGACATTCTGGCTTTCATAAGAGCCAGACAACATCTCATGCAGAATAAAGGTATGTTTATTATTATTATTATTATTATTATTATTATTATTATTATTGACACAAAAACACAGTATGTCATAACAAACGAGATATATATGCTGGATTTCTTCTTCTTCTTCTTCTTCTTCTTATTATTATTATTATTATTACTTACTTTATTTATACCCCACCCTCCTCTCTCCTCAAGGTGGCTAACAATCACACACTTTGATCAATTTAAAACAAAAGAAATACAAAAATTAAAAACAATTAAACAACATTGTGTGTGTTAGGTTAAAACCACAGCTAAAACACAAGAAATATATTTAAAATGAATTTTAAAACACCCAATCTCCCCCACCCCCCAAATTCCAACCACAACCTCCCCAGCAATGTGCCCCTTAGCCTTCTCCAAACGCTTGCCAGCAGAAAAAAAGTCATGACCTGCTTATGGGAGGCCATCAGGGATGGGGCCATCCTGATCTCTCTTGGGAGGGAGTTCCATAATCTGGGAGCAGCCACCAAAAAGACCCTCTCCTATGCTCCCAATAAATGTGCTTGAACAAGTGGTAGGACAGAGGGTCCTCTCCAGTCAATCATAAATGTTTACTAGGTTCATAGAAAGAGAGATAGCCTTGTAAAGTGTACCATAGAGCTAAATTTTAATCTATGTTCAAGTTTTTTAAATTTAGAGTTAATATGTAGTCTCACTCTGATTTATAGCAAGGATTCAAAGCATTGCATTCTATATTATTCCATTGATTTATAGCAAGGATTCAAAGCACTGCATCCTATATTTGTGTTCATTTGTGTTCATTATTGCACAAATCAGGGTTCATAACTACAGGTCTGACAGCTGCATGTTCCTATTAAAGATCCTGGTGATGCAGTTTTGATATGTAAGACCGGTATTCCTTATGTTTCTAGTCCAATCAGCCAAGATTGGTCAGCAGAAGCTCTTTTGTCAAACCCATCAATATCAGAGGGATTGGCAAATGTATATTGCATGGTTGAGGAAGTGTGCACATTCATTTTCCAGCATTTTCTCAATATTGTTGTAGGGGAGCCCAGGAGGGACTGAGACAGTAGGTCTATGTTGTCTTTGTGGACCAGAACCTTCTAAGTTTTGGATGTCTGTGTGAAAGCCAACACCTTTCTCGAACACATGTTGGTCACAAAATAGGAAGTAGCTAAAATATTCATGCATAAAACCACTACAGTCACCAAGCAACTGATGAACCCATTAAGGAACATAGGATACCTGTTGCATCCCAGTTCAAGAAACAAGTCCATAAGATTAAATCCACCACTCTGGACTGTAAGAAAAGCAATCCTTGTTTATTGATGAAAAATTGGTTACAAAAAAAAGGTAAATGAAGAGTAAAAAAAGCCACAAAACAACACAGTAGTCAATAGGATCTCTGAACTTAAGCAAAACCTCAAAAGCCACAAAACAATAACCAGGAGTCTGTTAGCCTTTTACTAACCATGAACTTGGAAGCCACAAGCCTCTGGGATTACTGACCATGGAACACAGGAATACTGCCAAGACCAGCCATAGTCCCGAACATTGCTTGACCTAAAGAAGCACCCGGCAGGGATGCTCTTAAACCAAAGAAGCTATTCTTAGAAACGCCCCTTGACTTTTCTGTTTGGGCCTCTTTCTGCTGAAGACGCTGTGACCTTCGTACAGACTGGGAAACAAATCTGTCTCTCACTATCTATTCTCTTCGGACCTCATTATCAAGCCCAGGTGGGGAGATATCACGGCTAACTTCCAAAACATTCTCTTCTAACTGTTGGGTTTCGTTTTCATTCCCACTGACCTCTGCATCAACAACAGATTCCACACTGTCAGAGTCAGGGAGAGCTTGCTCAGTTTGAAAAACTATCAGAGAATCCTGTTCACACAGATCAGGATCAGACTGAACCCCAACAATACCATGGTTTGAAGATGATTGTTGCATACATTTTTCCTGTTGGCATACTTTGCTGCAGTCAAATGACCATATTGAAAAAGCTCATTCTCAGATAAGAAGAGTGGTTGGGTGGCCTCTTTAGTGAAAAAGATATGATATATTGGGTCATGTGCATATCTTGAAAACCATGGGTAAGATCTCAGAAATAATATTTTTGCTCTCATTGTTGGAGTAGCAGAACCTCAAATAGGCAGCCTTCTCATTTCTCAAGTACATGTTCAACATACCATGCCTTTCCTCATGTAACTTCCTCATTTTAGATACAATGAAACTGAGAAACTCTTATCTGTTTTATACAAATCTACATAAACTTTTAATTGTTTGCTGTTTCGGATAGTTTTAAACAGTCTTGGTTTTGTCTGTTAAAATAGTCTTTTAAATTGGTCAAGTTGATTTTACTGTACAGCAGTGGTTCTCAACCTGTGGGTCCCCAGGTGTTTTGACCTACAACTCCCAGAAATCCCAGCCAGTTTACCAGCTGTTGGGATTTCTGGGAGTTGAAGGCCAAAACATGTGGGGACCCAAATATTGAGAACCACTGCTGCACACGATCTTCTGATTTTTAGATACAGGTGGTAGGTATTTAAATAAGTATACACATGAAATGCTATGAAACATACATGAAAAAAAATTCAAAACACATATGTATACTAAGAAAGAGAAGTATCAAAGGGCTCTGGAAATATCACAACATACCTGCTCATATGGTAGTGTGTGAGTTATTATATATAAAAAACACACACACACACTAGATTGTGTTGGAAACACTTAAGCTTATTAATCCCCAGCCCTCACCTCACTCCATTTGTATTAGCTGCCATTTTCTAATAAGGAAGAACATTGTATAAACGAGTTCAATACAGTGAAAAGGCCTGTACCATGTTAGGAAAAATGAAGCAGCCACATTAGGCAGAAGATTTTGCATATCTATAAAGACCAGTAAATTGTTTACACTTTTTACTTACTAAATCAAAAATAATATTGATTCACATCTGATGCAAGAATCATAGAATCATTGAGTTGAAAGAGACCTTGTGGGCCATCCAGTCCAACTCCCTGCCAAGAAGCAGGAAAATTGCATTCAAATTGAATATCATGATGTTTGGGAATCAATCTCAGGCATCCTCTTGCACAATGCAAAGAATACTAGATTGCTAAAAACTGGAGCCTATCTTTGCAAATGTCTAAATTTCACTCACAAAAATGTTGTACTCCCTTTCCGCAATGGACAGACAACATATAGAGGTCATTATTATTTAGACATATACATCTAGAGATGCTTGAGATCCAAGGAAAATTGGACCAGTCTACAAGAGTAAAACAAAATCTAGGAGAGTAAAACAAAAACCAGTATTCATGATGTAGAGGCTGGTGAACAACTGCTGTACATAATAGGTTTGGAAAACAACAATGTCCTTGTTTAAACTACACAAGGACTTGAGAAAGCTTTAATATACTCTTCCTTTTTTCTGGATATTCAAAACAAAATTGCTGTCCATTATACAAAAGTTCATTCATGATTGAAATACATTTCTATGTATATTTCCATCATCTGATAGTGATTTCTCTAGGATCAGATATCATCTTACATTTGTAACTCTCCGATGTTTCCTCTCTTCTTATTTCATCCTTTTCCTTTTTCTTCAAAGGATAAAAGAAGAAATGATAAAATAGCTGCATAGTGTCTTCCCACACTGTAGAATTGTCCATTAGAAAGTACCCATGCTAATCCATACCAGTTCACATATAGTTCCAAGTTCAAAAATATGCACACACAATTGGGGTAGGATTCTGCTGTCATATTCTGTACTTATCTATTGATGGGAACAAGCATCTCTAGATGTAAATGCCTATATAATTATGACCTCTATATGTTGTCTGACCATTGTGGAAGAGCAGTACAGCTATTTTGTGAGTGAAATTTAGACATTTGCAGAGATAGGCTCCAGTTTTTTGCAATCCAGTATCTTTGTATTGTGCAAGAGGATGACTGAGCTTGATTCCCTCATCATTTGAATGCAATTTTCCTGCTTCTTGGCAGGGAGTTGGACTGGATGGCCCATGAGGTCTCTTCTAACTCAATGATTCTATTATTCTTGCATCAGATATAAATCAGCCCTTAGGCAATAAATGTATTACATTTCTGTTAAAAAGTTCACAAAATGGCAGTTGGCAGTTGGCAGAAGTCATTCAGTTTAAAGTAGACACCAGTGGCACCTAAAGGTAACAAGGAAGTTATTAATATATGTGAGAGAGAAAGGGAGAAGGATTCTCTTTAGCAGAGTTTCTGTAGGAACAGGAACAAATTATACAAAACACATGAAAACGGCTGTGATTAGTGAAGCAATTGCTTTCCATCACCACTCAAGTGCTGATGACAGCATTACTCAGCAAGCTATCAGCACCTGCCAGATGGTGTTAACATTATCCCATAGTAGAGCTTTAGTCTATCTCTGGTTATCAGCAATAATTGTTGGGTGTAAATACAGAGGCTGCAAAACTAGTCACCTTACTGCAGCTCAAGCAAACATTCTATACACTTAGGATTTAAGATGTCATGTGTCTCGGTTTGGCAAACTCGTCGCCAAGCTCCTTCTGAACATATAATTATGTTGTACTACAGTATATGTTTATTTCCCATCATGGAGTAAAAGCACTGAGTTAAAGAAATATTCCCTTGGGTTTTAAAATAATCTCATTCATAGCTGATTAAATGCCATAGCTTAGTGACAAGAGCACACCTTACCCTGAGTCTCTCATCTAATATTGGTATAACAAGAAAGCCTGATCAATAAGCTAGAAAGAAAAACACTTAAAGGGTAGCTCATGCTCCCCTGGCCCCATGTCAAGACCACTACCCTGATGAGATTGTGCCTAGGACACATTCAGTGAAATGAATGGTCTGAACAGATGGTGGTTGAGCAGAAAAGTTTGATTTACCTGGATTTTTTTTTCTAACATTAAACAGTAACGTGTTCATCATCCAGAGCAGTGGTTCCCAACTTTTTTCAAGAGACAATATATGTGAGAGAGAAAGGGAGAAGGATTCTC